CTTCGGGATTGCCATTTAGGGTCAAACTTACTATGTAACAGTGTCTGCCATGGCTCCACAGTCCCAGATTTCAGTGAAACTTTATACTGTCACTGCACAGGCCTTTGAAAGTTCCCTTTAGTGAAGGTGTTTAATGGTGCTAAGAGTTTTATTAATGATTTAGAACCAAAGAGACATTTCATTTCAAGAAAGTAGATAAAAATAATGCTGTAGAAGCAGTGTACGTACTGTTGACAATTTGTTATCAAAATACTTGGCTTACAAAAATGTGTGGGCTCGGGCATAATTTAATCATTTAGTTGATTGTTTGTTGTGAAGGGGAGCAAAAGAACAAAAAGGGTGTCTCAATTTTTGCATAGCTCTAGAAGCAGAAGCCCTGACTGAGAATTTAACGAAAATGAGCAGCACAAACACACTAACATATTGGAGATCTCAACAAAGAAAGGGCCAAAAGCTTTTATTTGGAAACAGAAGGTCCCTGGCACTTTGAATGTAATTCCTGGTGATCCTTTTTAACCTTTTTTTTAGGGAAGGACTGCAGCAGCAGCCAGATCACTTAGCCTGAGTTTCAGACAAAAATTAGATTTCTCTTTGTCCAAGTTCCCTGTGTAGCCATAAAGGAAAGAGGGAGATGATCCATCACACCATGAGAGAGGTGGCTGAGACAGTCAAGATACAGTGCCCTGGTTAGGTGAAATGTCCTTTGCAAGTGCCTGTCCACATCATAGTCCAATGGCAGCAGAGTGATCCTGGATCTCACCTGGCTTTGATAAACTGTCAATGTAAACCGGAATAATTGTATGGTAAATTATTCAACTAAACACCCATATCTGGGCATGTTGCTTTGGAAGGGATTTTACCTGAGAGAAAGAAAACCATTTTTAATTAGGTAGAAGGATGCCCAGGTAGGGAACTGGTTTGTAATGATTTAACTCAACATCTGTTTAATGAATAAAATTTCGATGTGGGAAAAGTCCAAATATCAAAGCAAAGTGTTGCTTTTCCTAAAAGGCAGCGCTTCTCCTCTTTGGCCAAATGGCTCGGTGCGCTTAAGAGCTCAAGTCAGTCTGTTTTGTGAGGGCTCGACTTTTTGACATAATATTACCTGTTTATTCCTCCCTACATTGAACCATGCTTGTGCCTGTTGTTATACAAGACACCTTGATTACATCAACATGCAGTTTATAAAGGCTGAGGACTGTGTATCCTATGTACAGAATGAGGGCATTCCTTACATGATTTTGATACGTCAAGGTACAAGTGAAAGACTGACATTTACATTTTGTAGAGAATACGTGTCTGTTTATTAAGCATCATTCTCTTTCATTTCATGGCTCTCTGTGTAGTAGTATAGAAAATAATACATGGGAAGAATATTCAGTCCTACTCTGCTAAAAATCCCTTCATCCAAAAGAAGTATTTGACTGTTCTGTAAGATAACGATGTCCAGCATGATGTAGTATCAGGCACCTGGTACAGTCACATCTTCATTGGATTCAGTTTTTCTTCATGTCTAACAAAAATTAGGCAACGTACACAAAAAAGAAAAAAGAACTGTAAGCCAGATGGTTTTTGAGAACCGAATAAAGTGAGAGGTGAAGTAAGCATCTGAGAGGAATGCACAGGGAAAAGATTAATCATCGCTTCATGTTCTGTGCCAAAACAATTGTGTCTTTGCTTGTCTCTGGTGTCTGATTTTGAATAAAATAACAGGCATTCCCTTTGAGATACACAAACTGTCACAAAATCCACAACTGAAAACTATTACAGTATTGACCCAGTTTGATCACAAACTACCGTAATGGTATGTAAACGTGAACTGATGGGTCATCTGAAGTGCAGAGCAGCACAGGTTTAAATAGATAAAAATATCAGGCACTTCCTTTGAAAGGTCACGTTGGCTATTTGTATTTATTTCCAATAGGATTAATAGGAATATCCTAGAACCATACAGGAAATTTGCTGAATTTATCAAGGTTGGGCCATATGAGAGCAGGCAGCACCCTGAAACCTGAGCGCTTTGTTCTGAATATTAGCTGTATGCATGAAGTGACTTGAGAGGGATGTGTATGTCTGTGACCATCACTGTATATGTTGTAAATGCACTGATCAAAGGCCTATTACATATCTAATAGTTATTTGCATAGTTGGACCCTGAAATAGGTTGAAGCCTCTATGATCAGAATATTTTTGTTAAATACTCTTCTTTTGAAGTAGTTTCCTCTAAGGACCTGGCAGTTGGCTATTTCTGTGCACAAAAGGTATGTAGCAAAGAAACCACTCCGCTCACATATATGGAAGTGGATATAACTAGTTCCCAGTACACACACAGACACACTGTATTTGTGTATGTATGTACATGTCTAAGTTGTACACAAGTACATTTGATACAAATATACATTTCTGAAATTTTATGTCTCTGATTTATATTATCTTCTAAATTTCCATGACTATTTGATATAACAAAAATCTCTCATGACATTTAGACTGTTAGCACCATTACAAAAGCAAAATATTTTGTGTGTTTTCTCATTACTTTCAGGGCTATCAGCCCTCTTTTCACATCCTGTTTTGTGAAAAGAGAGGCCAGTTTCAACAGGTTTGGATTTCACATTGGGGAGAGAGAAGAATTAGTAGTTCAGAGGCTGTTCAGATAAGCCTGACCTTAATTGACACACTGGTATGTTAGTTTCTGCCCAGTGAAGGAGAAAAAGAGAGAAGTGATAATGCCTAGTACTTAAAAATCATGAAGATTTCAGTTTAGATTTTCTACAGACGACTTCAAAGACATACACATTGCTAGTTATGTATGTTTTGTCTCAGTGACCTCACATCAAATGTGAAAAGCCAGAAAATAGTTTTCTAGCTACCAGAGTAGTTTCTTCCCTAGGACTTGAGGTCTCTGCAGTTTATCCCTCATTCACCATTGCTGATAATAACATGGCAATCTCCAAGTAATGTCCTGATGGTTCCCCCTGTGATCCCATTAGGCCATAAGCATAGTCTCTGTTGTGGGGGAGTCTCCCCTGTGCGGGTTCTGCTTCTGGCCCCTCCAACTTCTGCCATTTTTGTGGCCCTTGGACAGTCACCCTGGATGGCTCAGCCTTTGAGTAAAAGGAAGTTGGGTTTGCTTGTTCTGTCTTTCTGGATTAAAAGGGGTTTGCAGTTGCTTAACAACTGCATTTCCTTTCTGCTGCTCAAATAACTTTGACACTTAGAGACTTGGGAATGATCTCTAGGTATAAGCTTCTTACAGGTGCGTGTGACTTTTGGCAATGACAAAGGCAATGCCTTTGTACATTGAGGCTGGCACCCTGCCTCCAACAGTGGGAAAAAGGCACAAGAAATATTACAGTTCCTAGTTTTAGAAAAACTCCCCAAAGGAAATGTTATTTCCTAATATCTGGTAATTAAAATTTTATGTTTGAGGGTTTATTTCCAGTCTGATTCTTCTCCTGAGGCTCAAAAATGTTTTATTTCTTAGTAATGTAGTTCTTGACGTTGTTGTCACTGATGAAATATTTGGGTTTTCTGTATATTGCTGTACTCTTGGTCTTAATTATGTCATGGGGCATGAGGTGCTCAGGGGAGAAACAGACAAACAGACTCAGGCAGCGGCAGCGTACACTCACTGTGCTACCCGGCCAACATTCCTCAACTCTGACCTGAGGACAACCTCTGGAGATAAGAGTCCCTTCTTATCAGTGAGTCCTCACCTTCGCTGCCAAGGCTGTCAGCAAAAAGGACATTCAGAGCCAGCAGTGGAGTTGTGTACAGCAGGGGCTTGTTCACCAGAAACTGCTCCGTGCTCACTGCTGTGATTTTAAGACTCACCACCAGAAAGTTTATATTGTAACACATTTCTGTTCCCATTTCACCCAGGGCTTGAACCCTAAAGAACTGGAAAATGGTCAGTTCTGAAACTCTTTGGTTGCCTTGAGTCCTGGCCCTTAGGTAACTGTTTCTATCTGAGGTGTATCACGAGTGGCACACACACTAGCTGCACTGTATATGATATCACACTATCCACACAGTGGGTGATATTACCACTGTAAAGAGGAACCCTTAAAACTGTTTGAACTTGGAATGTTTGAATTACTGTCTCTGCTGTTCTCTACACTTGACATAGGTGCTCAAGTGACAAAGTTAAAAATACTCTTCATGTGACTAATGACTTGCCCAAATCATGCACATCTCTTTTTTTCCTTCACATATAGTCAGCATGGTAATTGCTGGGTTTCAGCTGTCAAAAATCACAACCATGTAATCAGAGGGGTAGCTGAGAGACCAGTTGCCTTCAAAGTCTGGGCCCTGCAGACTTCCTCACCTGCTGTTCAGTAGCAACACAAAATAGCAACGCAGGTTCTTACAGTGACAAATCCTCCTGGCTAGCTCTGCAGGCAGCTCTTCCCATAAGCATGAAAAGATTAAAACTCAGTTGATAACTTCTCAATGAATCAGCCTGTACGTTCCAGTCAGGTTCGCTATCGTTCTCCTAGGATGACCTTATTTTATAATTGTATTTCATGAATGTGTCTGAGTATGAAACTCTGCTCATGCATCATTTAACACTCCTCGACTGAGAAGGTCGATGTCTTGGCGGAGCTGGGTGTTGATGTCTTTATGGATGGAAAATTTTGGGTTTATATTATATCAGTAAGTCTACAAGATGTGATACTGGGATTTAGGGATCTGAGCTCTTGGAAACTGGTGGATGAGATCCAGATCTGTTCTTGTTAAGCTTTGAAAGAGAGGCTGACACTTGTGGCATATGCAAGTGCTGTTTAGTTGCTTGCTTGAAACGGAAAGTCTGAAGAACAAGAAAATCAGAGGTTTTAGACTGGCTCCAAGATGTGTATTTATAAAATACCCAGATTCTCTTTATACTTTATTTCTAAAGTAAGACTGAAATAAGCTTGAATTTTGAAATATCTTTCTCTTGGAATAGGATGTTATGGAATATTGATTGTTCCTGTTGTGGAATATTTATTGTCTTACAGCCTGCATTTACCCTCTCACAACACAGAGAAAATAACTCCTGATGACGTTAAACTGACAAGACTCCGACAGTTTCACTTTTGTGATGGGAACATGATGGGCTATTTTCTGTTTACCCTGGACACTTGTTGGAATTTACCTTGGAAATCATGTGAGAGCTTCAGGTTTGTACTTCTCTCTATGTGATCTGCCTGTGTACTTTACAGAAGATGTTCATCCTGATTTGCTTTGCAGTTAACTTTGCCTTTCTCCTCTTCAGCATGAATTCATGTTTCACTCTACAATACCTAGAGATTAGGTGAGTAAAACAGCAGCCACCTTTCTACCCTCTGTAGGCCAAAATCCCATGGGATTTGTTTTCCAGATACTGCTACCAGGCAGAAGCGGGCCTGTAGCCCCGTTGTGCTGTGGGACAGGGAATTCCACAGAGCCTTAGGTCAGGCAGCTTTGCAGAATTCTTCTTAATGCTCCATGACACTTTGGATCCAAAAGCAGAAAATCCCAAGTTTCTCCCTCGTGGGCATTACAAATGATGTCTTAATTTACCAACACTAAGAAAACTCTTCGTTATCTCTTTGTTTATAACAGGGCTTTATTTGCTTATTTTAGAACAAAAATACAAAAGCAGGTCCTACAAGCTTTGCATTTACATTTTGAAACCCAAATGAGCTGGCCTGAGTCTGTCTCCAGCAGACACTGTCAAGACAATTCCATCTTGAATGCTTTCTGTTTTAAAAATATTCTGCCGAGAATATTTGTTTTTAACTTTCGATTGGTCTTTTTTTCAAGTGATGGGCATCTGCTGTTGAACATGTTGAGATGAAGAGGGAAAGGTTTTCCTGCTAATTACAGTGTGAGCACTTATGTCACATTCCAGATTTATTCCCCTAACTTGGGAGAAGATAAATAAAGGGATAGATTCTCATACCACAAAGGGCAGAGAAGGAATAGCACTGTAGACCCAGGTTTTGAAGTCAGCCAGTTTGAAGTTCAGTGCTCAGACCACTACATCCCCTTACATTTGCAGACACTGCTTCATTCAGCCCTCCAGAACTCTAATCATTTTAGGATTTCCAAGTGCCTGAGTTCCCAGTGACATTAATTACCATGCACAAGGCTGGCTATTTCAAGACAATTAAGAGATACGGAGAGAATTGGTGGAAGAGTGAATCAGGGGTCATAGTCTAGTTCAGTATAGAGCCTACCAGTGCTCCGTCTGACAAATGAAAACAAAATGCAAAGCTTAAGAGGAGCCAGAAGATATCTGAATAAATAATTAGAGCTTGTGTGTTTCAGGGAGCTGGGTTTTCTTGGCAGCACCAGGCTGTAGTCATTTCTGAACAAACAAGATTGAGATTTATGTCTCAGTGAAGCAATGCTGGGAGCCTGTTTGACGTGCTGCACAAAGCCCATTTCCGATGCTCTCGGCCAGATGAATTTCCTCCCTGTGCTGGAGGTGGGCAGAAACATGGTGTTCTCACAAGGTATGCCTCAGATGCAAGGTTGGTCTGGGCTCCAGAGGCATCACTTGTAGGGAGGAGTCTGTGGGACACTGCCAGGGAACACTTGCTTTTAAACTGAAGAGGAGCTGGCTCAGTTCTGCATGCACTCTGGTCTTCAGGGGTGCTGAGCTTCTGCACCTGCTCCTGTCAGTGGGGTTTGTGTAGGTTCAGCAGTTGTAAAACCAGAGAAAACAACAAAACCCCAGGCCTGCAGGTAATAGCTTTCTGTAGGTACGATTTACAGGTGCCTACACTGTATGTACAGCAGCTTGTTCCTGTGTGCTCTAGAGGATAAGTGCATTTGTACAAGAGGCTGGCCTTGGGAAATGCTCCCATAATCACATCTACCAACAGACAGTTCATGCTTACAGAAGAGCTTTGCACAGCAAGGTATTAGTAATGGCATCTGTGAAATGAAAACCTGAAACACAGGAAGCAGGCAGCATTGTCTCACAGCTCATTTGAGTTTGGTGGTGGTGAGGAATTTTCCCTTCCTGTCTCCCATGGGACATTCCTCCCTGCCCCCTGCAGAGACAGGCAGGACTGGGGGTGAGCAGCCAAAGGTGCCCTGGAGCAAGGGGGAAGCAGGGGAGCTGTGTTGACTCTCCTCTGTATTTGCTGCCCCAGACAAATACCCCTCTTATTCCCGCAGTGGCCTTTAAATGCAGGTTCCCACTCCTGCACCCCGCACCTCCATGGTGACACCTCCTGTCCTTCAGCTGCCAGGGGAAGAAAGCAACAACAGGTGGAAAATTAACTTTTTTCCTCCTGTTTTACAGCATTGTTGCAACATCCTTTTCTCCCCTTCAGCTTCAAGGGGACCGGGCTGCTGTGCCAGAGCTGACTGCTGCCACCACTTCACCTTTCAGGACCTTGTGCTGTGCTCCCACATTAAAAGGTTTGTTGGATTTAAGAAAGCCTGTGCTGTCATTGCTAAGGAATGTATAAAATCTGGTGTCAATAAGCTTAATTGGTGCAGAGGCCTGATTTGGTTTGGGGGAGAGGTGTAGATATTGCCTCCTGCTAAACTCTGTAAAGAGACCTGGCAGCTTGGTTTGCTGGAGAGCAGTGACCTGAGGTGTGTGAGTAAAACCCTCAGCTGAGGGTTGGGAGGAAAAGTGCAATTAGAGGTGGTCTTTTACTGTTGCTCTCATACACTGAGTAGAGCTAATGCTGAAGGGCATGGAGGTATTAGAACAAAGGTAGGAGACCTGGTGGGTCTGAGAGGAGAAGCTTGGGTTGTGAAAGAGAGGAGGCTTTCTGGGTCTGGGATAATTTGGGATTCCTAGGGAGAAGCTTGCCAGCTGAACTAGAGAGTCTTGGTTCCTGCTGGTATGGCTCAGCCTTCCTAGGAAGACACTTCAATGTGTGTTTGATTAAGAAGAAAAATGGGCAGAACAAGTGGAAAATAACAGTACATCTCAAAGAAAATTCCAGTGGGCAAGAGCTGTTAGTTGGCTTCAGATAGGAAGGCTGGGCTGAGCATTTTAGAGGTGAGTGAAAGGGGTACAAGTGTACACTTCAGGGTAGGAGAAATTAAAGGGCGGCACAGCTGCTCAAAAATTAAAGTTGATGTATTTGCCTCTATAAATTCAGCATGTTTGCCAGAGCTCTGCACTTGGATTAAACTCAAAGCATATGTTCTCTGACTTGAGGATTATCCCACACTGGGCTGCATCCATTCCTTCTGCTCTCTCCTCAGGGAAACAGCTCAAGTTCCATAAACTAGCAGAATCCCACAACTAAAGCTCAGCAATCCTTGCACCACTTTCAGTTTGCTCCTTAAGCTTCCTTTTCCTCTTTGTCCACTTGTTTCCCTATAGAGGTGCTTCTGAGGTGCTTCCTGATTTCTTCCTTTCCGTGGTATCTTCATTTCTAATGTCTTTTCCTTATTATTTTACCCCTCTTTTGGTGCTGAGATACGAGTGTGTCACTTGTTCAGTGCATTTCCACATAAAGTACTTTTATGTTCTCACTTTTGCTTCCTTTATGTTTTAGAGAGGCTCCTTAGAAGCATCCCAGAATAAATCCAGCTTCCTTATTTCATGTGCACAAAAAGTCAACACCAATAGGCTTCTAATGTATTGAGTTTGTTTCTGCTTATAGTGGTCAGTGCTTTTTCAGTGTTTCCCTGCTATTTTCAATCTTGTTTAGTGCGTAAATAATTTTGTTCAGTGACCTGGTTTTTTATTACAGTTACTGAAAAACGAGGCTGGTTAGATCCTGGCTCATTCATAAGGCTCCTAATGAATCCTCAGCTGTTGATAACAAAGGAATTCAGCAGAGTGAAGTTCGTCTCCCTGTACAGGGTGTTTGCTGCAGTCAGTGTGCATCCCTAGAAAAGATTAATGCTGTCCAATGGAACATATCACATACTGATGACTTCAGGTTGTCCGCTAATCTTTGTAATTGGCATGAAATCCAGGGTGGCTGGGAGTCAAAATCCTGTCTGCTTGGCTTTGTGTGTGTTCTGCTGATTACCTGCCTAATGAAGAAAGTAGGCAGAGCAGTGTTTGTGTCATCCTGCAGCCACGTCAAGTTACTCACTAAACCTCTCCCTGGGAAGGCTGTTCGGAAACTTAGATGAAGATTTTTGTTTCAGTATAAATTTGCTGCTTTGTAGAAACCTAAGGATGTTATGGGAGGAGATCGGTGTCAATAAACTTACTAGCTTTACATAATGTGGAGGGGAAAAAAAGTCCATGATCATTCTAGCTGTTTCCAGAATGAAAGACTCCAGGCTTTCCTCTTGAAAGTGGTATTAGTTGCAGATACTGTCTGAGACTCTCCTGAGCATACTTCAGAAAGCCCTGATGGTAAACAGGTTGCATATCTCAGTTCTGGGAGGGTTTGCTGCCACACAGAAATTCCAGATTGTGTGCTGGTAATTCCAGATCTTTATAATCCAGTGATCCAAATACTCTGTATTGTGTTTAGAGTAGGATGCTGAGTGCTGTTTTACCAGAACATGACTGGGGTTTGCTCTCAGCATGGGGTTTTTGCCTCTATATAAGTTAATCAGCCAGGAGTCTTGGGAGCTGAGTTCCCTGGGGATTGATGGGCAGGGGCAGGGTGTGAATGGCAGGGTTCTGCCTCCATAAGGTGGAAAGAAACCAGAAAGTAGCAGAATGCTGGAAGGAGCAGTCATGAGCATGGCCCAGAACGGTAATGGCAAAAGGAATCAATGAGATGCATAGCAGAAAGCAAAACTGAAAATCATGCGTGATTAATCTACTTGCTGTTTTCTCATTGTGTTATGGAAACTTGACTTTACAAACTGAATTGCACCAAAGAAATATCTGGTTTGTATTATCAGTCTTGTCTCCATGTGGAAAAAAAGTCAGATCAAACGTCAAGATATTTTATTCTTTTAATTGCCATCATGTTTTGCTACATATTTTGATATCCCTCATAACCATTTTCTTTTTATTCATTACAAATGATTAATTCACTAGGCACTCTGCTTCCCTTGAGTATTGCAGGATTCTAAATGGCTTGTTTTGCCCAAAAGTGTTTGTTACTGGATCGGAGAAGCTTGATGGCAAGTAAGGAGGGAATGCTTCCTAATAAATATTCCTTTTGGATAGAGTGTGCCTCTACATTGGAAGAAGAATATTCCTAGAAGTGTTCTAACAGTGCTTGTGCTTATTCTTGAAGTTGGAATTGTAAGAAGCACTTTGCCATTCCAGCCTTGTGAAGATGTTATAAAGGACAAGAATGAATTTTAATCTAAAGAATATTTATGGGGTCTTTTTTGATGGAGAAGGAAATCTTATAGTGCATGGCATTACAGAGAAAATCAGCTCTATAATTCTCACTTTATACAGATACAGTATCAGTGTTGCAGACTGATGGACTTGTGAGGTGTTTCTGGACTGTCATTTATGCCTAGAGAAAGGAAAAGACTTTCTGTTTTTTGTCGATATAATTATATGGCTCTCAAAGGATTTGCTCCTGTTCTCAGCAGTCAGGAGAGAAGCAGTGGACTCATAATACACCAGAAATAAATTCCACTTCCTGCCTTCAGATCTCCCAGTCAGATAAATGAAGAAAGACAATGGAGAAAAGCACTCAAACAAAAGAGTGAAAGTCATGTTTGGTCTTTTGGGGGGAAAATGAGAATGGAGCTGCTCTGATAGGGGCTGTAATAAGAGTTGTTTCAAAGGGGAGGGGTGGCAGGGGGTGGGACCTTCACTCTGCCAGAGCTGGATTTAAACCTGCACACAATGGCAGGGCACCTGTTGGGAGCTGAAAGCTTTTCTAGAGAGCTTGGTGCTAATTGTCGCCTCGCAGCTGGAGGATTATGTGTAACCTGAGCATTTAGCAGTGAAGCTCTTACAGCAGCCTTGACAAGTAGTGAAGGGAAAAGTTCCCCCTTTTTTTCTACAGTTAATACCACAAAATGGTGTTTTATAAAGTTTGTCTTTAATCTTACCTTGCTCTGATGCCCTTTCAAGAAAGAGGACTATAGTCTGCAAGTAAAGCCACTGTAAGTGCAAGGATGTTGTTTTAACTTCAAAAGTAACTCTAATGCTACTAAATATTATAACATCTACAGAGCGGAACCAAACCCCCCATTCTTTGTGCAATAGGCTCATATGTTGGATTTTTTTCCTCTCTGTATTTTAAAAGTAACTTCCATTTTATAAACATCCTTAATGTAAATTGATCCTCAGTTGTCTGAAATATCTGAGCTAATAGAACAAATAAGAGTTCATTTTATGCCTATGTAAGACTCCATTTATTTCACTGAGGTGTACTGGGATCAGTGTATTTGAATAAGATGTGAATTCATGCTTTATTTTCTTGTCACAAGAAAATAGAAAGCCAGCTTAATGGTGTCAGCCTTTCATCAGTCATCTGAAGACAAGCAACAGAAAATATCACTGAAGTAATTGTAATTGAATGAGTAGCAGAAAGAAGAGCTGCAAATCATGGAAATAAACTCTTAAAACCTTGTTCTCATTTACTCAAAACCTGAAGTAACTGTGGAAGTTTCTCGAGGCTTTCATTAAAACGTGGACATAGATAACAAACTAATTCAGTGTAAATTTGGGGTTCTTATTTTATTATTGCCTTGTTTGTATGAATTTTTATTTAATTAATAAAATCCATTAATTTCAGTTATTAACTGTTTTAAATATTTCTCACATGAGCACTGCAATGTGTTCTTGGAGAACACTAGATACAAGCTGCTTTATGGGTAAAGCAAGAGTTGCATTCATCAACAGTTCTCGTTTTTCCTAATGTAATCAATCTGTATGAAAATAATTATTGTGGAAGCTGTGAGAAAAATAACTGAAGAATATTGTTGCCTCCAAAGCTCTGTCTTTAAAAGCTACTGCACACATATACACTATATAAATAGTTCTTAGGAGTATGCATTGCATTGGGCTATCTGGTCTCTGCTTTTGATGCAACTAGATTGTTCTCTAAGGTTGCTTTATTTCCTGTAGCGTACAAAGTACTTCACATTTAGGTCTTTGACTGGTTCAGCTGCTGTCCAAAACAACCTGAATTTCACTAGTATTTCTGTTCGTTTTCTTAAGAAGTACAGGAGGAACTTACAGGATTCTTAAAGAAACAGCATTGGGTTGCATATATGACTCCTAACTCCTAGCTTGAAGCAACCTGCAGTTTTTATTCTTTTCCAAAGGGAAATTATCCCAGCCTTTGCAGCATTAGCTAATACTGAGTTATCTTATTTAGGTTCAAACCTAGTAACGAAGACACAACTTCTGCAGTGAGGAGGTTGACTTCAGAAAACTTGCTGATTGGAGAAAGTAGCGACACCTGAGAGTAATGAGTACTGAAGAGCTGTGTGCTGCGGCTTCTGCAAAGGTAAGATGTAAAACCCTCATCGGAAGTGTAAAAGGAAAGAGCTTATCTTGAGGATTTCAGTGAAAGAACCCTAATTTCTGCAACTAATTTAGCAGGGTTTTGTTGTTTGTTTGCTCTATTTGGAAGAGCGGGATGCATTGCTTGTAATTGTCCTCCAGTAAGCTTTAAACAGCTTCCTTGGCAATGAAAGTTTTCTTGTTTGACTGACTGATCTTATAGCTCATGTTTAGTAATTTCCAGTGGGTTACCTGCAGCTTGCTAAATGGATCCCCATAGTTTCACTGTTCACATCAAATGGAGTATTCTCCAGAGGTACAGTGATAAATCAAAAGGAAAAATCCCATTTCAGTGTGGTAATTGCATTGACTTGTATTATTTTAGCTCAGCACAGTTGCAAATGTAAATCTACTAAAAAGAACCAGACAAAAAGATACATATAGACACGACATTTTTAAAAGGCACAGTCACTTGCTTGTGTTAAAAGCTGCTAATCTATAGGCCTGGAATTACTTAGAACTTTGGTAGTTTTGAGTGACTGACTGACTAAAGAAAGAATAAGAAATGAAAAAGAGTGGTGAAAGGAAATCTTCTTGTTGAAGAAATGTAAAAAGCAACATTTTTGGCAGCCCGCTTTGGGTGATGTCATTCTACAGAATGTGCTAAAGTCTGTTATTTTACAGCAGGAACTGATTTCTCAAGGCAGGCAGAGTCTATGGGCACTTAGTGTTGCTCTCAACTTAGGCCAGGCAAGATCTGTGCTTTTTTACACCTCGTTTGATGGTAATAAATCATGTACACTTTTAAATATGGGGCTCAAAGGCTGCTTTTCATATTTATACGCATATATGTATCTAGATATGTTTGGAATCCTTTGCACACTTTCTTGTGTGGGTTTATCTCTTGGCTGAAGATACTCTTGTTGCTAGTATTGAGTATTCGTTGCCTTCTGTACTGGGTTCTGGCAGATGAGAACACTGAGAGTAGAACTGCATTTGGGAAGGCAGGGAGAACTCCCCCCACTCCCTTACTGCCAGTTCGTTCCAAGGTGACAATTCCTTGCTGTTTCTCCCCATTTGCTTGCTAATACTCAGACTATAGGATATCAGAGTAGATACAGTTCAGTGTATGTATGTTCGCTTTGTCATGAATGAAAATAGGTCTCAGCTCTGAACCACAGTAAGTTGAGTGCAAATGTGTGGTAAAATGCAAAGAGCTTTACTGTATTTGAAACATTAAGTAGTAAAAGGATTAGGTTCTGCTGAAATTATCCAAGAGGGAGCATGAATCAGGTGGTCTTTGGAAGGTTTAAGGATTGTCCTGTTAAGGACCAATAAATGTAGTTCACTTGCTAATATAAGGGAGTATTTGTATTTGTTATATTTTATGTGGCCCATCAATTTGGACCATGAGCCTAGTCATGTAGTAAAGGTACTTTAAAGCAGAATAGTAAAGATTACTGCTAGAAGCAGAAAATACTCAGGGCCTGATTCTGCAGAAATTTTGTGGACTGCTAATGGAATAACATGTCACTTGGGATAAATTGGACTGGCCTTATGATTATTACATCTGAAAGAAAAAAATGCTGAACACCTTTCACTTGCATTCCTTTCCTTTTGCATTTTACTTCTAGTGAGACACACCACTGTGACAGAGTTAAAGTTTTGTTTCTAGGTATATATTAAAATAATGCTTGATTAATCAATATTTCAGTGTCCTCTGTCCCCTGACCAGGGTTATTTCTCCTGCTTGTTTACTTGCATGAAAGTGTTGATTTGGTGCTTAGTGATACAGGGACTTTCTACATGCACTAAGGAAAATCTATTTGATTAATGTCTGGAAAGCCTCTGAAGTTTTATGAAGTCTCACTGATAACAAAATGCATATATTTGATCTCAGCTTGGTGGATACTTCTTACTTTAAAAATGACATCATATAAAGTTGTGTATTCTGAAGATTGGTTGATCCTAATACTTACAACAATGTTCTGAAAGGTTTTTGGCTGTAGGCAAATTATATTAACTCTTTGACTGTGGAACCTCAAAAGAACACTAATTTTATTACAGGTGCACCTGGCTCAGCTGCCTATTATTAAGTTTGCCCAACACATACCATCAGAAGATGTTTTCAATTGCTCAAAACATTTCCAAATATGAACCATTTGGGTTGAAATTCTCCATGCTAGTTGGAAAATTGTGCTTGTTGCAGCTCTTGGAATTGACGGACAAGGCTGATAGGGTGCAGAACAGGGCTCATCTCTTGGTACCATAGATGAATGCTGTCCTGGAGAAATTAATTCTGTGCTGATGCCTACCTTGGCTATTAGAACCAAAGCAGAAATTTGGAGCTTTGTGCCTGGTGTTGTCCAAATACGTTTAAATGTAATGAATTTTGGCAAGTCTGAAATAACAGAATGCCAAAACCTTGTTTGTTATGTCCAAGTTTGGTATTTGTTATTCTAATAACAAATCCAGGTATGTTTGAAATGGAAAAGGCTTAGCACCTAATTGCAAATGGTAGCAGTTAATATAATGGTAGCTTCTGTCACTATTTCATGTTTCTTTTCACATGTGTATGGCCATGCATATGTCCAGCTCTGTTTGCATGTTTAAATGCATTCTTGAAATATACTCTGCCTTCTGCACATGATCTCAGTAGCAGCTGCTGTCTGTCACAGAGGCCAGGCATGGTGGGGTAGAGGAGGATTCTTCCCCCTTCTCCACAAGGCATAACTTGATGAAGCTGTATTGTAAATCATAAGGGTGCCTGCTGAGTGTGCTCTGCAGTTATGCTTTTCTTTGGTTATTGTTGCATAGAACTAGGAATTTTTTGCTTTAAAGTTAAAGCTTTCAGAGCTCAACTGTACAGTGTCTATTAGTATGTGATGAAATGGTAGTCAGAAGGAGTATTAGTCCTGATTTCCTGAAAATACCTATCAATTGCTATCTAACGAAGACCCAGTTAAACACAGGAGTGTCTCATGACAACCTTGTGGGTTTGTAGGTTATCACACCAAAAGCAGGGAAGTGGATACACCTTCATCTAGAGTTAAAACTAGAATATACTGTGCAGGGGAATAGTGTGAAAACATCTGAACAGAGTTATTGAGTAAGGCAGCTCATCTTCTTTGGGGAGAAAGCATGCACAGGGACTATTAGGCTAATGCAGCTCTGGGCAGATCTTACTCCTTGTAGGAGTGTGTCTGTATCTTTATCACATTGTGTAACCCCACATTATTCCTTTCCATTATAGGACTAACTTGGTTCCACAGGATTTAGTCTTTCTGGGAGTCTTGTTTTAATTTTACAATGTAAGGTATTTCAGGGGCAGAGACCGTGTCTTATTTATTACTTTTATGAGTCATTTAGTTCACTTTTGGATGCTTGACAGATAATGTGTTTGATTGCATCATGTGGTACACCAGGTCTGTAGGAAAACAGACTTTCAACTCTGTAATGAAGTCTTAAGTTTGATTTACTGTTTACTCATTCGACAGCAGATGCTAGCCAGAATTCAGATCATTTAAATTCTATGAACTGACTAAGCCAAAGGCAATATAAAATCAAGTATCATCAGTGTACATCTAATAGTTCACACAATGTAACGCTGTCTAGATTTTCATCATTAATGTTCCTGGACTAAACATGGAGCACTGGGTAGAAGAAAACCTGGACAGATTCCAGCTGGAAAATATTCATAATATCTAAATGTTCTATAGAATAACATGTTAATGGTTGTCATGTTGCAATAGTTCTTGTACAATCCATGTTTCCCAATTGTTGAACCCTACTGTAATTAATCTGGAAAAAAAAACAGACCTTCTTTTTCCCCTTTCTCCCACCCCACCCCATGTAATTTGTTCTTGTGTGGGCTTTGGAAACCCGTAGTTGTGGCAACATTAACTAATTCCTAACAGAACTAATTGAGCTGACAGCTAAAGAGATGCTCACTTTTGCAGGCAGTTAAAAATAATCTTTTTAATTTTTATTCTCCATTATTCATTTTCCCATTGAGTGAAGCTGAGTCTACTGCAGGAAGTTAGACCCTGCTGGGATGCTCTTGGCCAGATCTGGGGACATGATGTTCCATCTAAAGAGCAGAGGGAGGAGTACTATACTATTTGTCCTCCTTGGGGACCTGACAGTATAGTTCATGCAAGATGTGGTTCTTGGGCACATGTTAAGCCAAGAAAACTTGATCAAGTTGTTGCTTGTCATATGAGACATGAACCCAATGACGTCCATTGATGTAGAGTGTCAGAAATGCAAGGTATGCAATGCCTTTGGTTAAACTCTTGTGCAAGACCCATGAGTTAACATTTTTTCTCACTATTGTAATGGGGTTGCCACAGCTTAATCAGTTGGAATAGGTGCTTGGAGACTGAAGTCTCCAGTCATTAGTTTCAAACACCAAAAGACAGTCCCACTGTTTGCCTTGGTTCCTCTGGACTAATGCTGCAGTGACAAAAGGCAGTGTTCAAGTTGGTGCTAACCAGCGCTACTGTTACTTCCAGAAGAAGAGAAGACACAAGGACAGAGCTTCGCTCTCTCAGATCAGGAATATAATTGACTAATGGTAGCTACTAGCCTCCTGTAAGCTGGCTGAGCTGTGGTGAGGGAGCATGAGCATGCTCGAAGGGTGTCCAGGTGGACATTAGAGTGGACAGGGATGGCTTTCAGCAGGAGAGCTCCCTCATGAAACCAAATGGGAGAAGCAGAGCATTAGAAGCCTCCCCTCTAAGCAGAGGCCTGGAAAGCAAATGTGTGTGAAATGCAGATGGGGTAGCAGAATGTCATTGTTTGAAGGTGAAAGTGGAAAGAAAGGGGTTGAGAGAAGTGGCAGAAGAGAAACAGTATTCACAAGAGCTCTGACTAGTCACAAGAGCTCTGATAGGTGGGAAAGCAGGGAAGGAAGGAGTGCTTGGGAGTCAGTGCTAGCTAGAAAGAGGCTGGAGTTGGTGAACACACAGCTACTCTTGATTCCTGCTGCATGTAGGAATGTAC